TTAAGTGTAATTGGGAAATCTCCCCTTCCTTTGTTAATATTAAAAGGACAATTGTTCTCTGATGGACGTAGGATTATTTTGATCCGAACCACGTTAAATCTTGTGTTCTTTTTTTTTTTTCGTTTCCGCTAACATCCTTATAAGTAGCTTATTTTTTTTTCTTACTTTCCATGTGGGACTTTGTTCACACACTCCCAATTATCTCCCCCTTGAACTAAGTTCCACATGACCCATCACCATTTATGGGCTAATTTGGAGATTAACTGTGTGCCACCCACATAATCTTGAGTATTTATGGTCACCGAAGCCCAAAGGCTGTGTATGCTTCTTAAAGCTACGGGTAAAGGTCGTAAACCACGTAGCCGGACCCCCACGCCACACTCCGCAATCTCCATAGTCCTGCCAAATCATTGGCTCTAATACCAGTTGTTAGGTTAAAGCATCCCAAAGATACTCTTAATATGGTGTGATATTGTCCGCTTTGGGCCAAGCCCGCATGATTTTTCCCAAAAGGCCCCACACCATTAAGAGTATCCAACTCCTTATAAGTAACTTATTTTTCTTTTTTAACTTTTCATGTGGGACTTTGTTCACACACTCCCACCACTAACGTCGATTTCCTTGTTCCACTCTCTCCCAAGAGAATAGTTAAGAAAATACTATATTTTTTTTTTTTGGCTCTAACTGTCTGCAGAGATAACAAACTGAATTATCTTTTTTTTTTGGTTGATAAATTAAGGGAGCATATTTTTTTTATCCTATTGTATACTTGCAGTAATTTTCTGTATTAAAAGTTGTGTTTGGCAATCTTGCCTCAGTCTCTGACATTAATTCAATTTCTGCTTTTTTCACCAGATCAGGAAAGAAACTGAAAAAACTTACTATTGCATGTTGCTATGGTATGGTATGCGATGGCTTGGATAAAGCAATTCAAAAGCTCCCAATGTTAGAAGAGCTGAGCCTGACACACACTGATATCACCAGTGAGGGAATTGAAGCTCTTGGACGCTGTTGCCCACGGTTGAAGTCGTTTGAATTGAATAACTCATGTTATATGGGATCAGATATAAACTTAGTTAATGATTCTGATGAAGATGAATCAGATGAAGGAGATGTAAGAAATAATGATGCTCTGGCTATTGCTAAGAACCTGCCTACGTTGCAACACCTTCAGCTCATAGGGAACAATATGACAAATGAAGGCCTTCAAGCTATTCTTGATAGTTGTCCTAATCTGTTATCACTCGACCTGCGGCGGTGCTTTAATGTTAGCCTCAATGAAGTCTTGAGTAGTAGAATTTCTCAACAGATTAAAGATGTGAAGTACCCACATGACTCTCTGGCAGGTTTTAAATTTTCGTTTGAATCTTGGGGGGCTGCAGGTGATGGATATAACATGTCTTCTGATGATTACATGTATGATGATTATTACTATGGTTTTTGAAAAGATTTACTAGTGGTCGTGAATCTAGAATTAGCCTCATTTCTGAGATAATGAACAGTTACTCAGGTCTCTCCAAATTTTATCAAGTTTTTCATTATTGGCTGATTGGAATGCCTTGGGTGAAACTCAAATTCCTTCTCTAACTTTATTTAATTACTCACAAATTCTCCTTTCATTTTCAATGGTACGGAAATTGTAGTTTACTTCCTTTGTATCTCTAAGGAATAACTTAGCATATTAGACTTAGTCATGATAATGACTGTTTAGAATCAGCATGTGGATACTTCTTATCCAAAAAATATAGCTGAGGGAATAAAAGAGTCTTTTACCAATATTCTAATTAATCAATTATTAATCGAAGAGAAAAAAAATTAGCCTGTTTTTTGGTCTCTAAAATTTCTTTTTTTTTTCTTCCATTTTTTTAATTCCCTCTCAATTTAGGAGGATTTATAGTGTTTTCATACTTCCCCTCCAGCGTAACTCCAAACCAAGACCTAACGGTCGTGGGAGGAAGTGCTTTACCAAATTTCTTCTTATTTAGTTGAAAACTCTATTTAGTATTTATCAAACAGAGGTATAACAGATCTTATCATAAAATCAGCTGATTTAACAATAAATCATCTTGAATTAGCATGCCATATCCAATGTTTGTTAAGTCTTTGCTTAAGCCCTGAACGCGTTGCAGTAACTTGTTAATATAAGGATACTTGAGAATTTGTCCTAGGGCTTAAGGCTTTGGTCTAGTGGTAAGAGGTAGCACAATATGTGATTATTAGGCAAAATACCTGGTACTTTTCAAAGGCATCAAACACTTATACCACGGGATAGCTCAAATCATATAAAACAAGAATTTGAGGAAACTTTTGCATCCTTAGAATTCCTATGTGTAGACCTTACAATTCCTTCTGCATCGCCTATGTGAATTTTTGGGGAAGTTTAGTTGGCCGTGACTTTCTTTCTTGTGGCTGTAATATTTGAGCCTGTCGATCTTTGTTTCTCCAACTTGAGAAGCACAAACTCCTTGCATTTGAAGCAATACATTTTTAAATACTACAAATTAGTAATAAACATTATTCATACAAAAATGGTGTCTTTAACGAAAGTGAAGGGCTGAGGGTCACAAAATATTGACAAAGAAAGCTCAAAAAAGATGAAAGTCCATATAAAATCAGTCACCACAAGTCATTGAAGCTCTTGGTTACGCTTGCTGTGATGACCTGATAGGTCATTTATAGTTTTACCTTTCATCTCTGTGTTCCGAGACCTCGAATAGCTCCATTTAGTCTTTCTCGATTTGCGTGCGCAATTCGTGTCCTCTTTCTGGAAGGTTTTTATGAAAAAATTGATGAAAATGTGAAATACTACCTTAAAACTCATTTGAGTTGACTATAGTCAACATTTTATATATACAGACACCTGTCGCATTCGCGAAGAGCACTGCCCGGTTGGCCATCATGATCGCGATACAATCTACACGTTCTCGTAGGCTTAGCCCTCTTGCCTTCGTAATCGCGAGCCTGAGCTCGCGTTCGCGTAGAGTAAAAGTTCCATTCCTAGTCCTCCCCTCCTATCACTACGCGTTCGCGAAGGGCAAGCCCCCCATTGCTCCGCGTTCGCGACCATCTCCTCGTGTTCGCAATGAGCAAATTCCTCCCCAGCCCCAATTTACTCTCCGCGATCGCGAAGAAGAACACACCAGATACCAGCAGTAGCCCGAAATCGGCAAATTCTTCTAAGTTCAAATGGTCTGTAACCTATCCGAAACTCACCCGAGCCCCTCGAGCTCCAAACCAAACATGCACACAAGTGTAATAACATCATACATACTTGCTCACACGATCAAAACATCAAAATAATACCTAGAACCACCGAATCGGACACCACAACAAATGAAATTTTCAAAGAAACTCAAGAATATGAAATATTACAATCGGACGTCCGAATCATGTCAAATCAACTCGTTTTGCACCAAATTTTGCAGACAAGTCATAATTACTAAAATGAACCTATACCAAGTTCCGGAACCGAAATCCGAACCCGGTAGCAACAAAGTCACCCTAGTCAAACTTAGGAATCCTTTAAATCTTTAAATTACTAGTTTTCACGGATTGCGTTAAATGCACCTAGGGACTTCCGAATTCAATCTGGGCATACACCCAAGTCCCAAATCATGATACGAAACCAACGAGACCGTCAAAACACTGATCCGGGTCCGTTTACACAAAACGTTGACCGTAGTTAACTCAAATGAGTTTTAAGGCACGATTTCACATTTTTCATCAATTTTCTCATAAAAGACCTTCCGGAAAGAGGACACGGATTGCGCATGCAAATCAAGTAAGGCTAAACGGAGCTATTCGAGATCTCGGAACAAAGAGATGAAAGGTAAAACTATAAATGACCTATCGGGCCATCACACTTGCCCAAAGTTGAAGTTGTTTGGATTGAATAAGTCATATTCCATATGGATGTTTATGAGGACTCCGACGAAGAAGATTAAGGAAATGAAAGAAATGAAGAGGCTCGAGCTATTGCTAAGAACCTGCATACCTTGCACCACCCTCAGCTCATTGAGAACAGTATGACAAATGAAGGCCTTGAAGCTATTTTTGATAGTTGTCCTCACCCTGTATCAGTTGACCTACGACAATGCTATAACATTGGATTCAACAAAGACTTGGGTAGTAGAATTTCTCGACAAGTTAAAGACATGAAGCACCCTCATGATTCTTTGGAAGCTCTTCAATTTTCATTTGAGTTATGCAGTTGATGCATGTAACATGTTTGATGCCACATCTGATGATTACTCTGGTTTCTAGAAAGATATAGGTGTCCTATTTCTAGCATTAGCCTCATTTATGAAATTACATGCTTCTTTTTGGTCATCGGATTAAGAACAATTCTTCAGGTGTCCTCTGATTGAATTTTATTAAGTGTATCATTGTTTCTGTACTGGGTAAAATGTCATATGACACGTGGTCATCTAAATGAAGGATACGTGGAATTCGAGAGGGGCATTGGCAAAGACCGAACCAGCTATTTCGCTTGTCACCGAAAGGGATACCGTTCATAAAGGTGTGTTAAATGCTCTGCACCTGATAGCATTTAATAAAGAATATTCTGTGGCATTAAGAGAAACAGGCCGTTACAAGGAATTTGACATTTATGTCCATCATTATATCTTCATCAATGACCCTCATAAGTGACATTAAAGGAGTGCACGATCCTAGGACCTCCTTCCCTAGACACATCTATAAATAGTGAGCTCAGTTATCATTGTAAATGACACGAATTTTCTGACAAACTTACACTACATTCTATACAGAGCTTAATACAATTTTATTTTTTCGCTTTTGATTTCATCGTTGGTGTACTTAGAAACCTTGTTCCCAAACTATCATCTCTGTTTTTTTATCTACATTATAAGACTAAGTATTGCATAATTCTTTATTTATTTTATTATTTTCAGGATCAAATTAGTTCGCTTGTCTAGAAACCACATATAAATTAGTTCGCTTGTCTAGAAACCACATATAAATTCAATTGTATTGTTTTACAGGTAAACAGTTTGGCGCTCACAGTGGGGCCTAGACAGCCGTACAATTAAATTGATCCTTGCCTTTTTTACTAACGGGCTTTGATTATCTTGTCTTAGAAAAGATCATAAGAAATGACAGATAACACTATTAACAACACGCACAACCCTGAGGTTCAATGAGATCAACCTCACTTAGAGCACTACTAGAAATCCGAAAAAAAATCGACCACAAAAAGCGACCAAAGTTGGTCGCTTACAGGTCACAAAGCGACCAAAAAGCGTCCAAACTGGCTTGGTCGCTATTTGGCTGGTCCCTTTACCTTAGAGACCAAATATTCCGGGTAAACAATATACCGACCAACTTTGGTCGCTTTAATATTTTAATAATATAAATTTAGCGACCAACGTTGGTCTCTATATTTAAATTACGTTTTTTTAATTTATTATTAATCAAAATATAGCGACCAACTTTGGTCTGTAAACCAAATATTATATTTTAAAATCTGGAAAATAGCGACCAAAGTTGGTCGCTTTTTTTTTTTTTATTTTTTTTAAACATAAGCGACCAAAATTGGTCGCTAATTTCAAGAATTTAATTATTTTTTAAACATAAGCGACCAAATTTAGTCGCTATTTTCCAGATTTTTTTTAATAGAATAGCGACCAAAGTTGGTCGCTTTTTAGGAAATCTGGGTTAATTAGCGATCAACCTTGGTCGCTATTGCCCAGAAAATATTTTTTTTAAATAGAAAAGCAACCAAAGTTGGTCGCTTTTCTGGGTATAATTTTGGCAGAAACTGCATGTTTTGGCAGCTACACCACTTGCCAGCATACCAAATTCCCTATTACAAGCAACAACAACAGCAATACCAACAACAAAACCAACAACAACAACACAACAACAACACAACAACAACACAACAACAACATTAAAACCAACAAAGTATAAAGTTCAATAGAACTAACACATTAAGCTAACAAAACTAAGTTAACGCTTATTACAAGCTCATTCGAAAACCGGTTCTATTTATCTAGTTTAAAGTATATAAAACTCAAGGAGTGTTTTGTACATCATTATCATCACCGTCTAATGAACTTTCATCACCAAAATGGTATACAAAAGGTTCAACTTGTCGAGGACGGGAAGAACGATCACGGGGAGGACAGAAGGAACGAGCACAGGGAGGACTGGAGGAAAGAGCACGGGGAAGTCGAGCCTCTGGCGATGACTTACGAGACCGGGGAATCGGAAAACCTCCAGAAGCTAGGAGAGATTTGAGCTGCTCTTGCATGCCCTAGCACTGAGCTTGCATGCCAATGTACTGAGCATCTCTAAGTTTTTCTCTTTCCTTGGCTGCTTCTAGCTCGGATGTGAGCTTTGTTATAGTCTACCCGCATAGCGGAGAGACTCTCCCCATCAAGTTGCTCACCTTGAGATGAAGTCCCTATTCTTTGCATTCCA